AGAGAATCATTGATCGGCTGCCTCCTGCACGCCCCCTACTGGGGACCGAACCCACAGCCTGGGCTTGTATGTGCCCTGACTGGGAATGGAACTGTGACCTGGTTCATAGGTCGACATTCAGCCACACTGGCCAGGCCACTGAGCATGTTTTCAAGGTTCATCCATGTTGTAGTGTGTGTCAGTACTTCATTCCATTTTTTTTATGGTGTCCTTTGAAGCAGTTTTTAATTTTAATGAAATTTAATTTATCTTTGTTTTTTTGTTGCTTGGATTTAGTCCCTCTGGCCCTGACACTGATTCATTAGGTTTAATATTTAAGCCTCGTGACTCCCGGGCCCCTCTCCCCTGGCAGGATTGTTTGGGGCCTCCAGCACTATATGGTTCTGAACTGAACCTGGTGGGCTCTAGGAGGCAGCCACATACACGAGGGGAGTTGCCTTCACTGGATCTTTGTTCAGAATCTAAACAGTTGCTCAGTGAACCTTGTGAAGGAAATGAGGAAAAGTGTTTCACTTAACTGACACCATCTTCCTTCCCACCCTATTCCACCCAACAAAGAAGGACACAGCTGGCTCTGAGAGCCGATGCTGGGGCGCTGGTCTGGGCCTGGTGGGGAGAGATGCAGGGGACCAGCCATGGCCCCTGGGAGAGAACAGCTGTGAGAAGGGGAAGGGGGATCTGAGGAGTGGGTAGGTCTGAGGGAAGGTACTGTGCTGGGCAGCAGGGGGGTGGGAGAGACCGGATGAATGAGGGAGGGAGTGTGGCTTCGAGGAGGCCAGTTGCCCAGGTCCGGCCCAGCCCTGGTGCTAAGGGAGCTGCTTGTTCTCCCCATGAAACAGCTCCCCACAGTCCTGCGTGTCCACCCACTGGAAGGAGCCTCACCTGTCTACCAACTCTGAGTACCTAGGATTTGAGGTAAAGTTTCCCAGATCCCCTCCCACAAGGACACAGTGCCCTGGCACGGAGGTGGGCACAGCACTCCTTGAATGTTAGGGGAGAAGAGGACCAGTGCCCAAGCTGCACTGGGGAGCCCTAGATTAGGTTCCCCATGTGGGTTGGGGGGCTCACCTCACCAGCTTGTGTCCTCCTCGCCCGGCTTCCCTCATCCTCAGGCTTTCACACAGTAAGTGCAAGTGACCACTGAGGTTAGTAGCTTCTTGAGATGTGGAGGATGGAGGCTCTGGGCTGGTCACCCCTGGCAATGTGGGGCATCTTCAGGATCTAGGGATCCTGGTGACCACTCTCCTCAAGAAAATCAGTCCCAGCCCATCAGCCCTGCTCTGCCCAGTGTGGAGATTTATATGGGATTAAAAGGTGGCCAGAGCCCCAAAAGCAGGGGACACCTGCAGTAGGAGCCACAGGAGGCCCCGTGTGCTTGGGCTCAGCAACGAGGGTGGCTCTCTGAGGACAATCACACATCTTGTGCAGCAGCCCCTTGATGCGTCAGTACCTGACTGGCAGTAGGGGAGCTGGGAGCATAGTTCACGTCTGAGTTTTCCCTCCAGGTTCAGGAGAAGCCTCGAAGATGTCTAATGACCCGCCCCCTCCTTATCCTGGAGGCCCCACAGCCCCCCTCCTGGAGGAGAAAAGTGGAGCCCTGCCAACCCCAGGTAGGGTTCAGTGCTCTTTCCCTTGCCCATTCCAGCTGCTGAAGTTGTGCCTGGAGCAGCCCCTCCCACTGACAGTGGGGCTGGGGCCCTCTGCATTTCTTTTCCCTCCTGTCCAGGCCAAACCTCCCCTGCTGTGATGCAGCCCTCGGCAGGCATGTCACTGCCTCCTGCAGACATTGGCCCCCCACCTTATGAGCCACCTGGTCACCCACTGCCCCAGCCTGGCTTCATCCCTCCACATGTGAATGCAGATGGAGCCTACATGCCTCCGGGTAAGTTGGGAAGAGATCCCAGCGGAGCGTAAGTGTCTGCCCAGCCCAGCAGGCTGGTGTTGTGTGAGGGTGTTTACTGCTGGTTGGAACAGGGGGACTGATTGTGGGCATGGAGGGTAGAAATGGGAAGGTGTCACAGAGCCAGGCCCCACTGTGAAGGCACTGTGGACGTGCCAGAGGAGCCCGGGGCTGCCAGGAGGGTTGACTCGTGGGAAGGCTCCTCAGGCAGTGGCAGGTGCTATGGACTCATGGGTGCTACAGGGGCCACTCCCTGCCAGACACTTGAGTCCATGGTGGAGGCCTGGTCTCCTGCTCACCCGGCACTCTTCAGAGGGACTACTCAAGCCGGAGAAGGACCCACAGTTCCTGCACAGGTGTCCCCAAGTCAAGTGGACCAGATGGCACTGCAGTGCAGAACCTAACACTGGTGGGGAAGGAGCCCTGTTTGCATAAGAGGGGCTGAGGAGCAGCGGGGCTTTCCTTCCTGTGGTTGAGGTCCTTGAGCACAGTGCCCAGTCCCGTGTGTCAGAGGCAGGGAGCCAGTGCATTGAGCTGAGACCGAGGGGTAGAGTGGGCCTTGTTCTCAGCTGTCTTGTCTGGCTGGGTCAGGTATCTTCTGTTTTGGTCCCCATGGGGCAGGGACAAGGAAGGTCTAGGACTGGTCCCTCAACTGCGCCCTGGGTGCTGGGGACTTTGTACTTAACTCTCACGTGAGCACAGTGGGGTGACAAGCCAGTGACTCGTCTGCTCTGTCTTCTGTGCCATTCCAGGTTTCTACCCTCCTCCGGGTCCCCATCCACCCATGGGCTATTACCCGCCAGGGCCCTACCCACCAGGGCCCTACCCTGGTCCTGGCGGACACACAGCCACAGTCCTGGTCCCTTCAGGGGCTGCCACTACGGTGACAGTGCTGCAGGGAGAGATCTTTGAGGGTGCACCTGTGCAGACAGTGTGTCCCCACTGCCAGCAGGCCATCACCACCAAGATCTCCTACGAGATTGGCCTGATGAACTTCGTGCTGGGCTTCTTTTGCTGCTTCATGGGGTAGGTGGTATGGGTGCTTGAAGGGTGGGGGCTGCACTTGTCCATTACCCAGCTGGAGTATGCCCAGTGCCCTCGGCACATTCTCTTCAGGCCTCCCCTTCTCTGATTCAGGTGTGATCTGGGCTGCTGCTTGATCCCCTGCCTCATCAACGACTTCAAGGATGTGACGCACACGTGCCCCAGTTGCAAAGCCTACATCTACACGTACAAGCGCCTGTGCTAACGGAGCCTGGACTGGACTCCCCGCTGTCAGTCTGGACTCCTGTGCTTTGCTCCCTACACTCAGTGGCTCTGTCCCCACTCCCGCTTGGGGGTGGAAGGTGTTCCACCAGTCCCCTGGAACTCGTCTTCTTTGCCTTGCCCTTCCCTGAGCATCTGACCTCCGGCAAAATTGTTGGATTTAAGGCCAAGGGTCAGCAAGTGGCAGGGAAATGGCACTGAGCATGTATGTTGCTGGTTTGCTTGGTGTTTGATTAGGAAGATACACTGGGAAAGGTCTCTACTGGGGTCTCACTCCTCTGTTTTTATATGAGGTATAAGTTTGGTCTTATTCTTGTGGAGCCAAAAGCAGCCAGAGCAATGGCTAGTTTTCCAGACCTGGGCCTACAGTGGGGCTGTGCCTGTAGCCACAGTTTCTAATCTGCTGGGCCAAGAGTGGGGACGTGAACCCAAACAAGATGGAGTCCTAGGCCAGGGTTTCTGGGGTGCCAGAGGTAGCATGACTGTCAGAAGGAATGACTCCCACCCTCAGAACTCTCAGGAACTCAACACCTTGTCCAGGTGCCCAGGAGCCACATGGAATTAAGAGAGAGTCAGCACAACTGCTATTCATGGGATAAGTGATTTGGCCCTGGCTCACCAAGGGACTTGCCTCTGGCCCCTGCCTAGCTCCCCTTCCACATGCCTCTGTGAACATGTCTTTACTGGGGCCAGAAGGAATCCCCAGGAGCCCAGCCCCTCTGTCCAAAACATGTCCTTGCTGCGTGTGGGCATGAACTTTGCCTGGAGGCTGATGTATCCCAGCTGGGACCAGAGATGGCAGATAGGCCCCTCCCTGCAGGCACACTCAAGGTTTACAGTGCTCTCTGTAGGTCTTCTCTCTAATGAACGCTGGGTGCTTCACCCAGGTTGACTCACTGTCACTGTGCTTGCTCCAGGCACTATAGCAGGAACAACTGTAGCACTGGATTGGGGACCAGGAAGGAGCAACCACAAGTGGCGGAAGTACCCTGGTGGACTAGCCCTACCCTGAGCCTGAGGCCATGCTGTCTTTCTTTTCTGAATGGTTTGTCGGTGAACTTGCACCTGTGGACTGCTGTACCCTGCTGCCACCCCTCTCCTGGTCTCACACTGCCACTGCATGGCCTTCTCTCACTGTGAATTGTGACCAGTCTGTTTGTAGTTTCTCATTAAATTGGTCCGTTCACTCCCCTGACCTGGGCCTCTGCTCTCTTGCCTGGCTTCCTTCTTTTGCAAGGGGAAGAGGGTGGGGCTACAGGTAGTCTTAAGGGCAGGGGGTCAAGTCTTCAGGGTCTCTCAGTGCTTATGCTATACCGACTGCCAGGAATGACACTAACATTTAAGTACCTAATTAAATTTAAAACAAGCCAGAGTTTGTGTGGAGGAGCCCTGGCATTCCAGCTATGACTGGGCCAGGGCATGTGTTGACTATCTTACTATCTGATACTGGTTTTACCCATCTCCACATCACAGCATCCACCATGGGATCTATAGGCTGGAGCCCTCCAACTGAAGCTCAGGGTCATCCTACTCTGGAAGCAGGTAGCTTCACTCCCTTAAGCAAGACAGAGACACTGGGCTAAGGCTTCGGGGGGCGGGGGGGAGAGATAGTTTGGGCCCCCAAGTTCTGGGCCAGCTCTGCCCCTACCCTCATCTGAATTGTAGGGGTAGGTAGGCTTGGTCAGTAGTTTAAAAAAAAAGTTTCCCCATCATTTAACCCTTTTGTGAATAAAATGTTCAGATCCTCAATTATATAAAACAATAGATGCCTATTAATAAAAATATTTAAGTTCACATTTCTATTTTAGACAATCAATTATTCAATACAAGTACATGGTTTTTTATGCTTATTTATAAGGTAACTAGCAGTCTTGGAGCACAGCAGGAGGAGGCTGTCAGAGACCAGCGAGGATGACATCTGTGCCAGGAAGGAGGCAGCTGTCAAGAGTCCACTTTATTGAGTGCTGTAGCATGACACAGGTCAGGAGGAGATAGGCCATGGCTGGACGCACCCCACTTGGGGGTTTCTGCTAGAGACAGATAAGGACTGGCTGCCCAGGCAAGCCTGGCTTCTATCTGCTCACCACATGCCCAGGTGAGCCCCCCAGTAGAGCAGGAGCATCCGGGGAGTCCCTTCCTCCCACAGGGCTACAGCACCTCGCCTTGGCCTGGCTGGCTGCTCCGCTCCCAGCAGGGGAAAGATACCCACCTAAATGATGACACAGCAGGAAGAACAAAAGGAGAAAAACCTCAGGGTGAGAGGTGTGGGTGCCCAGGAGCAGAGCTGGTTCCAGAGGCCCAGGCCGGTCACTGAGCTGCACTGGCTGTTCCCAGTGCTACAGCCTGGGCGGCTGCAGGAAGGGTGGGCCTCTACTCAGCTCAGCATCTGTCAGCAGAGGACACTAACAGGCAGAGGCTTTAGTGTCTGGCTTTTATTGGTTGCTTTTCTCAAACCCAGCATTTTTAAAAAGTCACCTGGGGTGGTGGTTTTGTCACAGGTAGAGGTGGGAGCAGGCCAGCAGTCACTCAGGAGGAGGGCGCCAATGTGGTGATGGGTCTTTCACATGTAGTACCAGGCCAAGAGGCCAGCAGCCAGAGCCACACTAGCGGCCAGAATGAACTGGAGGCTGGGCTTGCTCAGCACAGCTATGGCTGTTCCAACGGGACAACTTCTACCTTCCAGGGCACCTGTGTGGCAGCACCAACAGGGACATGGCATCAGTGGGAATGCTGACACACCTGCCCTAGGAGGAGAGCTTGGGATATACAAGACCTACCTTTGTCTTGGTTAGCAGTGTAATAGGGGCATTTACGCACATCTCCTTTCCCATTGTGCACGGGGAGCCCATCCTCCACGATCTCTTTGGCCAGCAAGGAGCCAGCCTGGTCCAGTTCATTGAATACCTGAAGGAGCAGAGGAGCAACACCATCACTGGACTGCTTAACTCTGCTTTCAGAGAAAAACCTCTTTCTTCTGCACAGAGGGAGCTGGAGCAGGTAAGGTTTGCTCAGCAGGTAAGGTTTGCTCAGGGGTGCAAACCAGCAAAACTGCAGCTGCACTCGGGGACACTGACCTGGCACTTCTCCCTGGCACGAGCTCTGGGAAGTATGGTGGTACCTGTGCTGTCCAGCAGCCTATGGCTGCTGACCATGGTGGATCTTCCCCGGGCACTAACCACACACAGTCCACGACTGAAACTATCCAAGGTACAGACATGAGAGTAAAAAAACACTGTTTGAGCCATGGTACTTCCCCACTTCCAGCTGCTGGGTATTTTTAGCAAGAAGCAATAGGAAAAGGAATATGGAAGAATAAGGCCCTAGCAGGGCTGACCCATCCTGAGTAGACCCTGGAGACCCCTGATGTCAGGTTAGAGGGCTGACAGGCCTGTGGTTAGGCTGATGCTTCACTTCCCTCCAGGGCCACTTGACTGGTGCCTGGATTCTGGGGACAGAATCAGCCTCCTCAGCCTCAGCCCCATCTAAAGGGTACCTGTAAACTGAGTTATGCTCCTTGCTCTCCTTTGTTCTCTCCCTGAACTCACCAAGCAAGACTTTTCATAGCAATCCATGCTAAAAAGGAAGAACTCCATTCCTCAAAACCAGAATCCTGTGGTGAGAGGGAGGGAGACAACTCCATTCTCCCCAAGCTCACATCATGGTGAGGCCTCACCCTTCCCAAAAACAAAACACAGAGGCGGTCTATCAAGTAAAGCAGAGCTATCACTGGACTCATGCCCTCTGTGGCCTATTTGGTCCCTCAAATTTCTCTCAGGCTGGCTGCAGAGCATTTGTCCTAATGCACCAGTGTCCGTTTGGGCAGTTCTGATCAGCTCACACCATCAGAGGCCCCTTTCCACCCGGCCCCAAGCAGTACCTGCATGTTGTACTCGAAGGCCCTGTTGGCCTCCTCCACAATCTTCTCTTTGGTTTTCAGGTTCAGGTCCAGGGCATTCATCCTGGCCCGGTAGAACTGTTTGAACTGTTGTGCGTTGTCCACATTCTCAAACAGGTAAAATTGGGTCCCCTCCCCTGTGCTGGGGAGTTTCAGAGCCCTCTGGGCCACCTTCTTAAGCACCTGGCCCCCCGAGAGGTCCCCCATGTAGCGGGTATAGGCATGGGCCACCAGCAGCTCCGGCTCATTCTGCCCCACATAGTGGATCCGCTCCACATACTTTTGGGTGGCCTCAGAGCACTGCACCTGCTTCTCCCAGTCCTCACCAAAGAAATACTCCATGTCCTTAATCAGTGCCTCCTTCCGGTGCAGCTCCATGGGGAAGTACAAGGGGGCGAAGGCTGGATGGTGCTGGTTGCGGTCCATTTCCTCCTCAAGGGCTGAGTATGTGAAGTAAAGTGCAGTAGTGGCCAGCTGTTGAGGGTGATGGGGAGAGACCAATGGAAAGGACTGTGGGCCTTGGGTAGCAGCTCCAGAGCCCACCGCCCACTGTGTCTGAGCAACTGAAGGCAAAGGCTTGAACAGCAACCCCCTTTCCTGTCCCCAAAAGCCCATTTTTATACAACGAATTATTTCACACACTCATTTCTATAAGGAATGACATGGTGAATTCTTCGGACATGGATACTTCTGCTTTCTTTACATCACTAGGTTATTCCACTTAAGCCATGGAAACCATAGCCTGGCATCAGAAAAGAGTAGAGTGTAACAAAGGCCTTGCTTCTCCCTTGGAGCAACTCCAGGGGGACCTTTCTCATGGGACTATGGCTCCCTAACCCGAACCCATCCATGACCGAGCCACAAACCTTAAACAGCTCTTTCTTGATGTTGCCTTTCAAGAAGTCCTTGACAAACTGGGTGTTTTCTGCCCGGTCATGTGCTTCTTTGGTCCCTTCCTTCAGGAGCTCAGAGAGGTCAGCCATCCTGTAGAGCAGCGATTTTCAAACTTTTGCATTTCATGGCACACATAAACTAAATACTAAAATTCTGTGGCACAACAAAATATATTTATTGTCAATCTGACCCAAAAAATATGTATACTCTTTTTGCTCCAAAGTGACTTTAAAAAATCAGGTGCCTATCCTTACTATATAATAAAAGGCTAATATGCAAAGCAACCAAACTGCAGAATGACAGGTCGCTATGACGTGCACTGACCACAGGGGGCAGACACTCAACACAGGAGCTGCCCCCTGGTGGTCAGTGCGCTCCCACAGGGGAGCGCCACTCAGCTAGGAGGAGGCTCACGGCTGGGGAGCGCAGCAGTGGTGGCAGGAGCTTCTCCCGCCTCCGCAGCAGCACTAAGCTGTCAATCGGACATCCCCCAAGGGCTCCCAGACTACAAGAGGGCGCAGACCAGGCTGAGGGACACCTGACACCGAGTACATGAATTTTGTATACTGGGCCTCTAGTACTTGTATATAAGGATTTCTGGTACCAAAAATTAACCAATCCTTAATTTGTGATGTGACCAATAAAATGCAACTCTCTCTCTATATATGACCTATATATTTATGGTTCAAAACAAGGCAGTCACTGGATGGCTATTGTGTTGGCTGTTGTCATTTCTTTATTTGACAATCTAAGCCTTAGATTGAGGTAAGTGCCCCTGACTAACTAGTCAGGTATTGCACATTTTAAAAATTCTTGCAGCACACAAGTTGAAAATCACTGCTAGAGAGAGACCAGGTGCGTGTGTGTGTGTGTATACATGTGCATGTATGTGTGTGTGAATTAGCCCTTCTCAGCTACAGCATGTCGCTTGCTACGCTGATAGGCAGGGGCTGCTCAGAAACTCAACTCCAGCATAGATACAGGGTCTTGCCAGGAAGCACAGGGCAAACAGATATGTCTGCTATCAAGGACTTGCGTAACACGAGGGATGACTGTGGCCTGCCTCTCAGCAGTGTCCCTATCTCGGAACTACCCAAATGAACGATGCTTTGCTTCTGTGGCCACCTAGTACCCAAAGAAACACACCTGTGTTCCCAGCATTTGCTGACTTCTCCAGGGAATAGCCAGCCCTGGAGAATGTCTCCCAGAATACATACAATTATGAAGGACTGACTGTGGATCTTTTAGACCCATAGCCTCTTCAGGATTACATGTCGCTGAGAATGAGACAAATGCTGGGAAAGTTGGAGCCAAGCAGGACCTGTGTGTGCTGCCTAACAAAATTACACAGGATGAAACTGTGCCACTTGATGCCAATTCCAGACAAGGCAGAGAATGCACGACCCTAAAGATGGTGGCACTGGGCAGGGGCTTGTGTGTACACACAGTCTGTCTACTAGAGTGAGAAAAACTTGGCCTCTCCATGGCCCAGCCTCTGCTGGCTTCTTTAGCAGAGTAGCAAGTATCACCCACATTCTGACAGTAATTTAATATTAGCAATTATTTCAAGTTTTAAAAACAACTTTGCGTCCTGACCAGTGTGCTCAGCAGTTAGAGTGTCAGCCTGCGCACTGAAGGATCTCAGGTTCGATTCCTGGTCAAGACACACAAGACCTGGTCAAGACCATGTACTTGGGGAGAAACCAAGATGGCGGCATAGGTAAACACCGGAGACTGCTGCCGCAAACAACCACTTCAAAAATACAACTAAAAGACGGAACGGACATCACCCAGAACCACAGGAAGGCTGGCTGAGGAGAGACTCTTCAACTAGAAGGAAAAATAACAGCACACCGAGGCTCAGAGGAGGCGCAGTGTGGAAAAAACTCAGGTGCGGAGGTGCGCGCGCAAAGCGGGCTGGTGGCTGAGAGCGCGGTTGTCGTTTTCGGTCAGGGGGGAGTCTCAGACTCTGAGCTCCAGATACGGGCGAATCGCTGGGGACTCGGACCCAAACGGGAGAAGCGGGAGTGTCTGGCATCAGTTGGAAGGCAGCTTTCCCTCCGAGGTTTGCAGCGGTTCCGGGGGTTCTGAGAAGCAGAGCCTCTGGGAACAGGACTGAGGGCACCATAACGGCTCCCTCCGCCCGCCCTGCCCTGTTGATCCCGCCCCGCCCAAGCATTCTCACAGCCTGGTGGTCAAATCCCTCTAGTTTTAACTACAACAATCAAGGCTTAACTAGAACAAGACTGCACACAAACACACAAAGA